ATCTGGCCTCGTTTGCTGCACTGGGCTTAGCAGGGGCTAAGGGAGAGCTGCTACAGATGGGTGTCCCAGGCTCAGGGCAGCTGGGTCCCCTGGGGGCCGATGAATTGAATGAGAGTCTTAGAAATGGCTCTGACCCTCTGCTTTGAGTACCCAGGAGGCAGGATTCTCTCCCTCCAGAGTTTTGACCAACTGTGCTAAACCCATTGCATTCACTGGGCGTCTCCTTCTAGCCAGGTCACTGGGCCGAGGGAGGTGCCAGCTGTCTCCCACCCTTCATTAGCTCATTTTGACTGAGCTACAGAAAAGTAACGGAGGATGTGGCAAAGGTCACAAAGTCAAGAAGTGACTTTGAGTCAAGTTGTGGACGGAAGTGGGTGACTCAGCTTCCACACTGATATTCTCCGCCATGCTCTCCACATATTTTTTTAATGCACATAAAACTATACACTAGCCCCTCTGGTAGCATTTCTGTTGTGCAAGTCGAAGGTGCTCAAAAACACTGGGMTGGGCGGGGTGGCTCACAGCTGTAATCTCAGGGCTTGGGAGGCTGAGGCAGGAGGATCGAGAGTTCAAAGCCAGCCTCAGCAATTTAGCAAGGCCCTAAGTAACTCAGCAAGACCTGTCTCTAAATAAAATACAAAATAGGGTTGGGGATGTGGCTCGGTGGTCTAGTGCCCCTGAGTTCAATCCCAGTACCAAACAAACAACAACCACAAAAAACCACTAGTTGATTTGAACAGTGGCTTCATACAACTCCTGTTTCAAGCCACTATATTTAGTCACTAAGTTGCTCAGAGGCTGGCCTTTGGGGTTGCCCATTTATTCGTCATGTATTCTCCAACAGGTCTGGATCAGTGGCCAGGCTTCATGCAAGACACAGGGCATGAAGAGGTTAACAAGATGCAGGGCTCATCCAGTCCTGCGGAAAGGGGGGTTCATCCCGCCTTTACCACTTTCTGACCTGATGTCCTCCTGTCACTTACTTTACCTCCCCGAGCTCAGTTTCTTCATCTCTGAAAGGGGGATGGATAATAATAGAGCCCAACTTGTAGGAGGCTGGGAGGATTTAGTGACGTCATAACAATTTAGGGAAGCACTGGAACAGTGAATAGCGAGCGCTGCGATTAGTGTAATCGCAATCCCATCGACATGGCGCTGTCCAGAGAGAGACTTCTTCAGTCTGCCAAAGGAGGCGGAGGGTGCTGCTGGATGTGGCGACCAGGTGTGGGGAGACAGGACCTATTACCCACACATTGGTCCTCTTCAGAAGAGATGGCCCTAAGGGCAGCAGGGGGCCTGCCCCAGGCCACTCCAGAAGACAGGGGCAGCAACAAGGTAATCCCACCTCTGTCCTCTGTCTCCCACCCCATTTATTGAAAGGAAGAGGCACAGGTGGGCGGCAGCCACTGGGGAGGCCTGGTGATAAGCATATGGCCTTCCATTTCCCCTGCCTCTTGCCTGACTTGGAGTGACTCAGTGTCCAATTGGTATTCTCCATCATGCCCTCCATCATTCCCAGGAGCACAGCCTGTTCCTGGGAATTCTGAGCTAGGGAGTCTGGTTGTGGGGTTCACTTTACTGCCCATTTGTGCTGCCACCATGAACACCAACCCAAGGGCAGAGGGAGGCAATTGCATCCTGGATTCATGCATCCACTCATTCATTTCCTTGTTTAATTGACTTCACCAGGCAACCCTGTGGTGTACCCGGCCCTTCTAGATCCCAAGGAAATGGGGACATGCAGAAGCTGCTTCCTGCCATCAAGGAGTACATGACATCACTGAAGACAGAAATAATGTGGGATTACATTACCAGGTTACAAAATAAAGATGTCATAATCGATAGCCACTTAGAAAGCTTACTGGGAAAATAGTGACAATTGCCACTGTAGGAATCATACAGGTGGGGCTGGGGCTGTAGCTCATTGGTAGAGTGCCCGCCTCGTATGAGGTATTGGGTTCGATCCTCAGCACCACACAAAAATAAATAAAGATATTGTGTCCAGTTACAACTGAAAAATAGTTTTAAAAAAAATCATACAGGTGTGTGGGGGGGTGGGCGGGGGATATAGCTCAGTTGGTAGAGTGCTTGCCTCTCATGCACAGTGGCCTGGTTCAATCCCAGCACCACACACACACACACACACACACACACACACACACACACATCACACAGGTGTTAGGCAAAGAAACTTCCAAAACTATAGCACAATGCAAAGCTTCAATATTTGGAGACTTTTACTTCATTTTAAAACTGAATAAGGATGTCATTTGTTTAACTGAAACACCTTTAATACAAAATCAGTCAAAATTCAGATGGGATTTCTGGTGTTGGAAGAAGTTTGATCAAATTCTATAATCTACATGAAAATTACATAGAAAAATATATGCAATTGGGAGTCAGCAAGAATTTGTTTTGTTTATGGTACTGGGGATTGATCCCAGGGCTTAAGTATGCTGGGCAAATGCTCTACTACGGAGTTGCACCCAGCCCAAGTATTTTTTCTTTTAAGAATGATAATGTCAGAAGCTTACACTGTCAGGCACTACAATGTAGTCCAAAGCCATAATCATCATGGTATTTTCTTGGCAGACTGGGGAGCAGAGTAAGTCTGAATATAGATCCATGTGAATTTAAGAATTTGCTTTGTGATAGAGAACACTCAAGTCAGTTCCCATGACCTTGGACTTCATTTGGGGTGGACAGAGATGAACCTCTCTTCACCCTCCAAAGATATTCTTCCAGGGGCTTTGCCAGCAAGAGGCTAATTAAAAGCAATTAGTTCCAGTGTGCCCAGAGTGCTCCCTTCCCCTATCTTATATGGTCCTCAGGAGGCTGCATGAGATCAAATACACTAAGAAAGTAAAATAAAGTCCACTCTAACCCTAGGATTAAGTTATCCAAACCTACCATTGCAAATTAGAAAAAGGGAGAGAAAGTGAAACTCCCTTGAGCCCACTATGCATATATATTTATTTTTCCCAAACTGAGATCATAAAGTGTATGCAGTTTTGTAACCTGCTGAGTTCATGTCATATCATATATTGTGTTTAAATATATTTAAGCCTTTGAAAATGTAATTTCTGATGGCTATGTGCTGTTCCTTAAGAGGTGGACACCATGATTTTTTAAATTATTCCCCTAAGGTTGATTCTTTTCTAGACGGCTATTATAAATAATGTTCTTATGAACAACCTGCTGTTTTTTAAAAGTCTCATTTCTGATCATTTTCTTGGGCTGGATTCCTACACGTGGATTTACCTGGTCAAAGGGAAGAACTGTGTTCTGAAGTCTTAATAGAAGATATGCAAATTGCTTTCGGGGGAAAAAAATGAACCAACTCAGGAAGTTAGCCCTGGCTTCCTACCTTCACCAGCAGCAGCAGTATTTTTAGTGTTTTTACTTTGGCAATTTGCTAGTCTCTCTGTGTGCCAGAACGAGTGTTAACGATTATGTAAGGTTACCTTCACGCTCTCCTGGGAGGGGGCACTCATTTTACAGAGGATGAAACCGTTTGAGAAGACTCTCGCCTGGCCTCAAGGCGGGGAGCCCAGATTCAACCCCGGACTTCTCCAAGGCAGTCACCTAATCGAGGTGTCAACATCCTTCCGCCTGGTTGGCAGCCTGGGCTACCCGGACTCTCAATTTTCGCTCCTTGCCACCGCCTGTGCCCATGTGGCAACAAAATGAGTTTTTGTTTTGTTTTGTTTTGTTTTGTTTTTTAGTTGCAGATGGACACAATATATTTATTTTATTTACTTATTTATTTTATGGGGTGTTGCAAATCGTACCCAGTGCCTCACGCATGCGAGGCAAGCGCTCAACCACTGAGCTATAACCTCAGTCCACAAAATGTGTTTTCTAATCCAGGGATTTGATGCTGTCATTTGCGGCCGTCACTCCCTTTCCTGCAGTTCCCTATCCTTCAGGGATGATGCCCACCTCCTCATCCTGACGTTCAAAGTCCCCACCTTCCTGGATGCATTTCTTCCCATCAGCGCCGGAAATCCCCGCGCTGGGTCCGGTGCCTTAAGTCCAGCTCCTCTGGGCTGGTTCAGGTCGAGTTAGAGACCTCAGCGGCCCACTCCCCCGCCCCCGGGCTGCAGTAGAGCCYGTCCGGAGCCTTGAGGCAGCGCCTGTCACCTGACTGCGGTGATTCGTTGACGCTACCGGACAGCTATCACCTGCCTCAGGACTGCGGTCCCTAGCGCCACCGTGCGCCCCGTCCTCACACAGTCGGCGCTGAACGCAAAATAAGCGATTTGGCCAGATGTGTAGACAGCTCTGAGCAGCAGAAAAGGGGAAAGGAATTGCCACTTAGAAACCAAGGATGTGGGCAGAGTGGTCCCGGGTGGTCCTCTGTGGACAGAGCGGTCATTAGGGGGTCTTTGGGGGTGGGGACCGTTTTAGGGGCAGGATGAGGGGGCAGGGCCGTCTTTTATAACTGAACTCGGCTTTCCTCACCTCTCTGGCCAAGTCTTACAAGAAAAATACTTTCAAGGCAGCCCGCCTCGCCTCGTTTTAGGGCAAACTCCCACGGGGCTGTGCGACCTTGGCCGCCCTCTCGCGGGCCCGGTAGCCGAAGGTGCACCAGCCGGCTGTCGCCCCCTCCCACCCCRGGCCCTTGAGGGCTCAGGATCACGGGACGGCGGCAGCCTCGGAGAGATCGGTTAGGGACGAGTCCATCTGAAAGTCCCTGGCCATGTCCTCGCCGGACGACAGACCCCTCTGGGCACCAGAAGGACCTGAGTCTCAGAGCCACCCCTTCCCAATGCAGAGGACGCGAGACGGAGGGTCTGCGTTGCCTGGGGCCCCCTGGCCCTCGGGAGCCGCGCCGCAGCTGTCCCGGCTCGGCCCGGGGTGAGCGGACGCCGCGCCCACAGCGTGACGGACGCGCGGGGCGGTTCTGGCGGCACCGGCTGCAGCGGAACCTCCGGTCCTGCAGAGGGCGCTGCCCCGGCCCGCCAGGGCACTGGCCTTCCGAGCGTCCAGGCGCCCGCGGTGTTGCGGGGAGTCCCGGAACCCGCGAGCCGGAGCCRCCGGGCTCGAGTGTGACTGGCGCGCGGCCGGCGCTTCCCGTGTGGCGACGCGACTGCTGAGCGCTTGGGGGAGGCTGCGCAGTGGCCGCCGCGGAAGCCGCGCGGGGAGCCGAGGTGGGGGGCGGGGACGCGGAGGGCTGCAGCGACCGTGGCTACTTGCTCGGAGGCTGCAGGCTTCGCGGGCGGGCGGGGGCTCGGGATGCGGGGCAGTGCTGGCTGTGTCTGCCGAGGGAGGGGGCGGCGGCATCGGAGGGGCGCMGGGGCTGGGGATGTGGAGGGAGGAAGATGAAAGGTTGGGGGAGGGTGATGATGTTATTGACACGACACAGGCACAAAGGGAGAGGGCGGCGGTCTCAAAGGGGGTGTGAGTGGGGAGTAGCTGGCATCGGGAAGTGATGGATGCAGAGATCGACTGGAGGTGGGGGCGGGGATGTTGGAAGCTTGGAAACGTCAGAGTTGGAGAGTTGGAGGGGCGAGGTTGGGGGYTTGGAGGAGAGACCGTTGGCAGGATTGGAAGGAAATTGGCAAGGAAAGTGGCTGAATCCTGAGCCTGGCAGGACTGGGGGCGGATTGGAAGGAAAGGGGTACAAATGTGGCTTTCCCCTGGCAGGGCTGGGAGTGAAGCTGTGCAGCTCAGCGCCGGTGTTTGCGACTGTGGGTTGGTGTGTATGGCCTTGGAGGTGAGGGGAAGGCATCGGGACTGACCCATGGTGGGGACCCGGCCTTACTCCGCTTCCCTCCCTTAGCCACCATGTTCAACCAGCAGCAGCAGCAGCAGTTCCAGCAGCAGCAGCTGCAGCAGCAGCAATTGCTGCAGCTTCAGCAGCTGCTGCAGCAGCCCCCACCACAGGCCCCCTTGCCCATGGCTGTCAGCAGGTGAGTTTCCCACTTGGGGGATGGAGGCCTCAGCTCTCACCCATGTCTTGCAGCACCTCCATTCAGTCCTTTGTCCCAGGGGCATCCTTGTTTTGAGTCCTAGAGCTCATCACCTCCCACCCCCAAGGGGATCCTCCATCTGTGTGGGAGGGTGGGCTCAGGAGATGGGGGTCTCAAGGAGGAAGGTGGTTCTAACTTTCCCAATCACCCTCTGACACTCCCTCCAAACACACAGGGGCCTCCCCCAGCAGCAGCCCCAGCAGCAGCTTCTGAGTCTCCAGGGGACCCACTCGGCCTCCTTCCTCAATGGCTCCATGCTCCAGAGAGCTTTGCTTTTGCAGCAGTTACAAGGTATGACTCAGGCCCCTTTGCATCCTGTGTGGACACTGGCTCCCCAGCAAGACAAGCACTCAGTCTCACCAAATCACAGTGACCCTGAGAGTGCCCTGACTCACAGTTAAGGACACCCAGGCTCCAGGGGTTGAAAGACTCTAAGCTGCTCAGCTGAATGCAGGTCCATCTGCAGACAGACTGAGGAGTGCCCTGGGCCATGACGCTGGCTCTCTGGGGAGTGCTCCATATACCTCACTGACATTCAGATTAGATGCCATCTGGCTAATGAGGAAGCTGAGAAAGGAAGTCCCTTGCCCTAGGTCACACAGCACACCAGCAGTGGCCCAGCTAGACCTCCTAAGCAGTGGGCCTTGAGCACTAAGGCTGTGCCCTTGCCTCAGTGTCCCCATATGGAAAACAGTGTCAGCTCTTCCTTCCAGGCTGCTGCTCCTGGTACTACTGATGACCCCAAGGGAAGGTACACCAACATCCTAATGAAAACACTGAGGCCCAGAAAGGGATCATGTGCCCAAGATGATCCTGCACAACAGGCAGGAGCTGACTGGATGGTCACCTCTCTTCAGCTTTGCCAGGGCCTCATGAGTGTGGATAGTCCTGGAAGCTGACGCTGACTTCCACATGACAGCTGTATATGAGAACGGAAACCAGACACAAGGACCCCCAGTGTATACACAGATATTCTCTCTCTCTCTCTCTCTCTCTCTCTCTCTCTCTCTCTCTCTCACACACACACACACACACATTTTTTTTTTCAGTACTGTATTGAACCCAGGCCCTTGCAGGTGCTGGGCGAGAATTCCACCACTAAACTATGTGCCTAACCCTATTTCCCCCTTTTACTTTTGCATATTAAAAGTCACACTTTTCAAAGAGAAAAATAACATGTAAAAAAAAGGGCGGGGAGGTGGGAAAACCGAAACTTGTGGAATTGTATAGGACTACTGTGATTGACGTAAGTGAGAGGCTGGGTGTTATTTCTTTTTTACTGAATAGAACAACATGATCTTTAACCATATAATTTGACATTCTCTGCCAAAGCCGTTTTAACAGCTGTATAATATTTCATCGAAGGGACGTGCCCTTGCTTACCTAAGTCTTCTCAGCTGTTCTTTTTTCTATTTTAATAGAAATGTGATGTTTGAGACTTTTTTCTTTGAATAGATTCCCAAAAGTAGAATGACTGAGTTGAGGGGATGGATGTTTTATGGCTTTTGATAAATATTGCCAACTTGCTTTCCTAAAGGACTGGACCAGTTTGCAATGCCATCAGCCACGTATGACAGTGCCGGTCTCACCATGCCCACGGCAACATTGGGTATTATCTGCTTTTTTATATATATAATACATAATATATAAATGTATACATATACATATAATTTACTAAGTTGGTTGGCAAAACAAAAGAGCTGTGTCATTGATGTTTTAATGTACATTTCCTGGAGTGCTAGTACAGTTGAACATTTTTATATTTATCTGTTAAACATTTGTATTTTTTATTTTTATTTTTTTTTTTTTGTGGTTGTAGATGGACAGCATGCCTCTATTTTATTTATCTTTGTATGTGGCACTGAGGATCGAACACAGTGCCTCACAAGTGCTAGGCAAGTGCTTTGCCACTGAGCCCCAGCTCCAGCCCCAATTTCTTTTTGTGACTTGTCCATGTCCTTTCTGTCTTTCTTTGAAGGTATTCCATCTTTTGTCCTGTTGTTTTTAAGCATTGGTTGGCTCTCTGCATATAAGTATGTATGTGTTTGCATTAAGTATATCAATTGAACACTTACAATATACCATGCACACTTATATTTATTGAATTCTATTGAATTTTCATAAAACATTGTGAGGCGATCGCTATTTTATAGATAAGGAACTGAGGCTTAAAGCAGGGGATAGATTTGTTTAAGGACACAGACCTCATACTCTGCGGTCTGGATTTGAACCCAGCTCTTACAGGAAAACTGACCCASGCTTTAACCCCTGTGTTTCCTGTCTGAGCACTGGGACAGAGTTCCAACTCCCTTTCATGCCTCAAACATTTCCCAGGCTCTGTGCCTTCACTGAGGTGCTGAGCTGAGTCAGATAAGGGTCAGCAGGAAGCAGGCAAGGAAATTATGAGGCTGCCCTGGATCAGGGGCTGTGGGAACACAGAGGATCTGGGAAGGCCTTTGGGAGAGAGACTTCTGAAGGGAGGGCTGCAGGGTGTGTGGAGTTGATGGAGCCTCTACAGAGGGAATAGCATGTGCCCGGCCCAGAGGCAGGATATCTGAAGGACTGCACAGGGACAAGTGACTGGAATGTCATAGGGACATATGGGGAGAATAGCAAGGAAGGAGATTGGGCGGGGCTGGACCTTACCCAGGGCTTCATTCCTGACCAGCAGGGAGCTGTAGGAGGGTTTGTGTGGGGAGAAGCTGAGATTTAGGCCAGGGATGAAGCAGCTTGGATGCGGCAGTGATGGGGAGGAGAAGCAGATTGGGGAGGTGTGGATAGAGATGCTGGGACCTGCTGGTGGCTGGCATGGGTAGGACAGGAGAAAGAGGAATCAGGGGACCCCCAGGATCAGGAGAATCCTGGCCCGACCAGCAGGTGGACGGCAGGGCCCCTCATAGAGATCGTGCAAGTTGTTCCTCCCTTTTACTGTTGGGGAAGATCATAATGCCTGCCCTGATGCCTGACAGGTCAGGTGACAGACACGGTGATGGACCGTGCGTGGCCCAGTGCCTGGCTCTGGTGGGCCTTTGATGGAAGGCAGCTAGTGGGGCAGAGGGGCCTGATTCTTCAGGGACCAGACTCTTGCTGGTTCTCCCTGTGGGCCCTGTGCTGAGGGGTGCCCTAAAGCATGCCTGAGAATGAGCAGGATTGCTGGGGTGCTCAAGCCCCTGACCCTGACCCAGAGGCATGGCGGGGGGGGGCAACCTCAACCCCCAGCAGAGAAGGAAACCTGCCCTAAAGCCTCCCCTGCCAGTGTCTGAGGTAGGGTGAGCCTTCTGCTCTACTCTTCCCTCTGGCTGCCCTGGGGCAGGAAGGGTCTCCTGAGAATTACCTGATATTCCCAGAATGCTTTGGGAGCTGACCCGTGACCCTCGCCTCTACCACCCAATCATGGTGTGAGCCCTCTTCTCTCTTCCTGCCTGCAGGCAACCTCCGGGGCTACAGCATGGCCACCCCGACTTTGACAGCCCCTAGCCTGACACCGCCCCAGCTGGCACCCCCAAATCTGCAGCAGTTCTTCCCCCAGGCCACCCGCCAGTCCCTGCTGGGCCCCCCTCCTGTTGGGGTCCCCATTAATCCCTCCCAGCTCAACCTCTCAGGGCGGATGCCCCAGAAACAGAGCCGGGCCCCCTCCTTCACCAATCGCAAGGTGAGTGGTGGCTGGGATGGGGCAGGTCTGGGGTGGGGGTGGGGAGGGCTTGCCCGGGCCTTCAGGTGGGCCACATTCCTCTTTGTGCCTGGGGGTCTTCATCTGTGAACTGGGGACGGGGTCACACTCGCCTAGTGTTTCCCAGATTTCAAATCAAATAGTCCTGTGTCTCTGATGTGATTTTCTTTTTCTTTTTGGTTCTGGGGATTGAACTCAGGGACGCTTAACCACTGAGACACATCCCCAGCCCTTTTTTTGGATTTTGTTTAGAGATAGGGTCTCGCTAAGTTGCTTAGGGTTTTGCTGAGTTGCTGAGGCTGGCTTTGAACTCTGAATCCTCCTGCCTCAGCCTCCTGAGTCCCTAGGATTACAGCGTGTACCACCATGCCCGGTCCCAATGTTTTATATATATATAAACACAATACCTTTATTTTATTTATTTATTTATATGTGGTGCTGAGGATCAAACCCAGTGCCTCACATGTGCTAGGCAAGCCCTCCATCACTGAGCTACAGCCCAGCCCCACCAATATGATTTTACCAGTATTATACCAGCATTATATTTACTTATTTACTCAACATTTCTCTTTAAGCAGCACTGCCTAGTGGAAATAAAATATGATATTTAATATATTATATGTGTGATTTAAAGTCTTCTGGTAACCACATTAAAAAGATAAAAAACAAGAGAAATTAATTTTACTGATATATTTTATTTTTCTCAGCATATGAAAAATATTATCATTTCAACCTGTGATTAATGTAAAAAGTGAATTGGGAACAGGTTCATTGGCGCACACCTGTAATCCCAGTGGCTCAGGAGGCTGAGGCAGGAGGAGCACAAGTTCAAAGCCAGCCTCAGCAATTTATCAAGGCCCTAAATAACTCAAAGATACCCTGTCTCTAAATAACATACAAAATAGGGCTGGGGATGTGGCTCAGTGGTTGAGTGCCCTGAGTTAAAAAAAAAAAAAAAGAAAAAAGAGTGAGGCCTGGGAATGTAAGTCAGTTACTTGGTAAAGGTCTTGCATGGCACATGCAGAATCCTGGGTTCCAACCTCAGGACCAAGAAAATACCCAAAACTCCAAACTGCACTCAGGAGCAGTGTGTGGGCAAGGAACCACCAGGAAGCTCAGGGACAGGATGCTTTGGGAGGAGGTGGTTCCTTGTGCAAGTCTCAGCCTTTGTGTGTTTATCAGGGAAAGGGTGAATAAGAACCTTTAGATTGTGCTACCCCAGGTGCGTTTACCTTTCTTTTTCCTCTTGGTATTTGGTACTAGGGATTGAAGCCAGGGCCTCACGCACACTAGGCAAGTGCTTTACCACTGAGCTGTAGCGCCAGCTTCTCTTTTTCTTCTATGTATGGCAATTAATTTAGACAGTTTAAAATTTTGTAGGCGGTTCCCTCTTAAAATAAAAGTAGCATTTATTCATTTGGCTTTTTGCAGTGCTGGGGATGGAGTCCAAGGCCTGGCACATGCTAGGTCCACACTCTACTTCTGAACCACTTGTGGGAAAACTATGGTTCAGAGCTGGGGTGGGCGAGACAGGCTCAGGATCAGGCCCATGACCCCCAGATGGGGAGCTTGTTGTGCAGGGTAAGAGCTGGGTAGTTTCTGAGGGGCCCAGAGTAGGTAGTTTTGGGGATGCAATGATGTGGGGTTCAGTTGTGTTTCCTGCTCAGCCTTGTATAGCGGACTTAGCAGGAGGAATGTAGAGGCTGCAACAGGTTCTGGGAGCCTTTCCCAGGTGCCCAGGAACCAACTGGGCCTTGGTGAGTAGTGCACATGTGGCCTCTGGCCTGACCTCTTGCAGATCTCGGGGGCTGGTGGAGAGACTTAATGCAAATAATGCTCCAACCAGTTAAGACTGGAAAATGCCTCAGAAGGGAAGCTGAAGGCCTGGTGGCCCGAACGAGGGGTCTGGACCTCGTCTGGAGTCAGGAAGATTTCCTCTAAGAAATGCCTTTGAGGCTCTGGCAAAGGTGTGGGGCAGGAAGAGGCCCAGTACTTGACCAGAGACAGGGCCAGCGTGGACACACAGAGAGGGCCAAGGGAGAGTGGAGACACTGAGGCCAGAGGGTCCTGTGGGGCTGCTCTTGGACAGCTGGGTGGTAGGTGTCAGAAATGGTTTCTAAAAGGAAGCAGGATTCCTCTTCTCAGACGATGCCTGAGGAAGACAGGTCAGACCCCCCAGAGGGGTCTGAGGAAGCCAGAGAGTTCCAACTGGACACAGCTGAAGGTGAGGGAGGGAGGCTGCTGGCCCTTCAGAGGGGGCGTGGGTTGGGGCAGTGGGAGCAAGGTCAGTGTAAGGGAGGCAGATGTGGGAGGCAGGGATTCTTGGAGGGGAGAGCCCGGGCCCACCTGGAACTCACACGCATTCTGCCTGATCTCTCTCTCCTTGCCCGCCTCTGTTTCAGACCAGGGGCTGTGCCCCTGCCCAGAGGCCATCACTAGCGAAAAACACACTCGAGCACCTGAGCCTAAGCCCTGTGAGGCCTCGGAGCCACCAGCCAAGAGGACCAAGAGGTAACTAATGTTGGCAGCGCCCCGGGCCCAGGTGCCCTGCGCTCATTCCTGCAAAGATAGTGGGTGCGCCCTTCAGTGGAGTTGGAGCAAGGAGGGGCTTTGGCCTGTGGTTTGGAGGGAGGTGAGACTTATTTCTGCTCCTCCCTGGGGAGGCTTCAGGTCAGACCCTGGTGTTTCACTGAGGCTGAGCCACCTGGAAGCCTGAGTGGTGGCAGGTTGGAGAGGTGAACATGCACCCCTGGGACCTTAGAGAGTAGGTGTTTACAAGGCTGTTTAGATGCTTGTGAGCAAACTGTGGGAGAGAACAGTCTTCTCCAATTTATTTAGGGGAAACTGAGGTCTAGGGCTGGGGATGTGGCTCAGTAGTAGGGAGCTTGCCTAGCATGCATGAGGCCCTGGTTCAATCCCCAGCACCACAAAAAGAAAAAACAAAAGAAGGAAACTGAGGCCCAGCTAAGCCAAGGAGCTGTCCAAAGCCCTCACTTTTAAGTGGAAGAGCTAAAGTTGGAATTGGGTCTTGGCCTTACTGGGGACTTCTGCAACCTCTTGAAAGACATGACTTTGATCTTTTGATCCAAAGCTCAGAGGAGCCCACAGAGAACGGGCCTCCAGGGCAGCCACGGACCCGGATGACAGCACTGAAGCAGACGCAAACCCCAGGGCTGCTGCCTGAGCCACTGGAGGCCCGAGGGAAGCCACGATTCCAGCCTCAAGTACAGCCACAGACTCAGCCACAGATGCCGCCAGTGGACACGCAGGTGCAACCAAAACTGCACAAACAGGCACAAACTCAGACCTGCCCCGAGCACTTAGGGCTGGAGCAGAATCAGGGGAAGCCACCGGCCAGTTCGCAGCCCCCAGAGCAGGTGCAGCTGCAGCGGCAGAAGCAGGCCCAGACACAGACGCAGCCACAGTGCCACACGCAGGCACAGGCCCTGAAGCAGCCATCAGAGCAGCCGCAGGAGCAGCCTTCCGCTCAGGTGCCAGCCCAGACCCAGGGTCAGCCGCAGGCCCAGCCACTGGGGTATGTGCCAGCACCCGAGCCAACGCCAGCTCCCGCTCATGCCATTGTGCTGGAGGCACCGGCGCCCGACGCAGTGGAGGCTGGGGGAGGTGAGTGAGGTGGCTCCTAGCCCTGCTGGTGCTGGCACGGCTCTGCCCAGGCCCTTCTTTTTTCCCTGGCACTGTCCAGCCGCCACGGGTGCTGCCAGAGCCTGACGGCTGGGCCTGGAACCCAGGATTTCAAGGTCCTGGCTGTGGGMAGAGAAGGCAGAGGGATCCTGAAAAAAGGTGCACACCTGTCATTTCAGGCACAGAGGTGGCCTCTCCGGAGCCAGTGGATACCCAGGTCAGCGTGGGAGCGAGCCAGGAGGAGCCAGCCAGCGGCCTGGATGTGGGAGAATGTGAAAAAAGAGCCAGGGAGATGCTGGGGGTGGGTAGAGTGGAAATGTGGCAGCACGAGAGCCCCAGAGGGCAATGGCTGAATGGCACCCCTGCCTGGGCCACCTCAGGGGCTCTGTGCATGTCCCACATGTGCAGGGACGGCAGCCCTGCCTGGCTGCGTGGGCAGCAGACGGGGGTGGGGGGGTGGGTTTGTCTGCATGAACACCCCACCCCACCCCCGCCACCACTGTCAGTTGCCTGCACAGCCTCCGCTCCAAAGGCCTCCAGGTGCTTTTGGTGACAAGAGTCCCTTCCAGTGAGCCCATCCCCAAACTAGAGCCCTCAGTCTCCTCTCATAGGAGACATCATYACCCACGTGGTAGCTTCCCTGTGGGGCTTGGCTCACAGCTCACAGTGGAGCTGCGGTCAGGCCCCTTCCCTTTTTGGGTCTTGGTTTCCCCACCCGTCCTGCACGAGGTGGTGCGGGTGGGCTTTGGAGTTGGGCAGGCCCCGGCTCCAATCCTGGCCACAGGACATCCTAACTTTGTGAGCTCCCGTCCTCACCTGCCAGCCCAGAGTCCCACTGTCTGAGACTCTAGGGACGATGCTCATAGGCGGTTAGCCCTGGGGCCGGCTTGCCCTAGGCACCCAGATAGTGGAAGCTCTGCTCCTGCTCCTGCTGTAGATGTGGGGTGCCGGGGGCTCCCTGAAGGTCACCATCCTACAGAGCAGCAACAGCCGGGCATTTAGCACTGTGTCCCTCATGCCTGTGTCCCGTCCCGGTGACTGCACCTCTGCCAGCCTTGCGGCCCCCATGCCCTCCAGGCAGGCTCTCCAGTTCTTCTGCTACATCTGCAAGGCCAGCTGCACCAGCCAGCAGGTACTCAGAGCCGGGCCCGTGGGAAGGGCGGTGGGCAGGAAGGGTGGGGGTCTCCACGGCCTGCACAGACTGCCCTTTCCACCGCTGCCGCAGGGTGAGCGCTGGGCTCACCAGCCCTGCCCCGGGCAGCTGGGCCTCCATTGGTCCACATTTGCTGACCAGCCAGGAGGGTGGGATTGTAGTCAGGCAGACCGGGTTCCAATCAGCTCTGCACAGCTGGGAGGGCCTCAGCACGCAAGCTCCACTCCTGCTCCTGGTTCCTCTGGCAGCAGACGAGGAAACATACAGGGCCCACCTTGCTGGGGCTTCTGGGGATTCAGTGACTTGTCATTGAAGTCCTGAACCCTGGGCAAGTGAGTGTGGCATCAATAATAGCAGCCTTGGCCGCACATCATGGCATGCACCTGTGGTCCCAGCAACTCGGGAGGCCAAGGCCGGAAAACCAGGAGTTCAAGGCCTTTCTGGGCACAGTAGACCCCGTATCAAAAAAATATGAACATAAAAAATAGTAGGCTTATACCTATGTTGCTGCTACTCTTGCTGTTGTCACTTCTTACTCGGTGCCTCCCCAGGGCAGAGCACGGACACCTGTGTTAATCAGAGAGCTCTCTGTCTTTGAGACCCTTTCTTCCAGGGGGTAAACCTGGCTTGTGTGTATACTCGTTCTCTGCTCAGTTTAGTGTCCCTGCTCTGGCCTGCAGGGCTGTTTTGTAAAAGAAATGACCTCACTGAGATGGCAGGCTGGCCGTGAAGTCAGGCTGGAGTCGTCCCCCTTGGCCTGCCCTTGCCCATGTTCCGGGGCCCACCCCCCATGCCCATGCCTGGCTCCTTCATGCTACAGGAATTCCAGGACCACCTGTCAGAGGCTCAGCACCAGCAGCGGCTTGGGGAGATCCAGCACATGAGCCAAGCCTGTCTCCTGTCCCTGCTGCCCATGCCCCGGGACGCCCTGGAGAGAGAAGAGGAGTGAGTGGGAGAAGGCCTACCTCCTTCCAAGAGCCTATCTGTGTTTACCTCTTAAAAAGTAAAAAGTAGAATCATCTTGCACGAGGTAGTGCTGGGGGGTGGGCAGTCTCACAGGCCCAGCCCTAAATCTGTCCTCTGCAAAATCTGCCTTTGGGTTAAGCATTGTCCTTCCCCAGAGGCTCCTTTAACTCAATGACCTTGGACCTGAGTTTTCCCCACCTGAAAAATGGCCCCATGAGGGTTGGGTTCAGGAATTCTTGACAATCTCTTAAGGTTTCGTCCAGTCAGGAACAGTGTGACCAACCATGTAGAAGGGAGGTGAGTTGTGGCACAGAGCCCTGCCCCTCTGGCCTGTGTGACCTCAACTGTGGGGATCCAGTGGTAAGGATGAGGTCATCTTGTGGCCTGACATGAGTGTTTCCTGTGTCCCCCTCTCATCATGAGGTCAGAAATATGCCCCCTCCTGGCTCTGGGACTAGTGCTTGGGGTGAGAAGGGCTGGGGGAAGCTGCAGGAGCTGTTGGGACCCAGCAGCCATCACAGACCTGCAGGGGCTGGCAGGTGTCATCAGAGAAGCAGGACTTTTGGCTTGGGCCACTGCAGGACATGGGCTCTGTCTACGGGACAGCTGCCTCTCAGCTCAAGTTCTCCTAGTTTTTCAGGAGAATCTAGAAACCCAGATGCCGTGTGACGCCACCCCATTTCAAAATGTTAACTGCTCATTCAGAATTCAAACAAACCCGAGAGGCCCCGGGGGACCCTTTTACAGGCCAGGCAGTGACCTTCAGTCAGAGGTCAGGGGTTCTGTGGTAGAGTGTACCCAGGTTGCAGYTCGAACCTCCCCAGGCTGGAACGAGGGACAAGAAGGGCTCTTGATTGGCCCCTGCTTTCATTCCTCATGTGACCAGAAGCTAGGTGGCTGTCCCTCCACGGGCAGCTCATGTCTCTGTTAGCGGGTTCTCCCTGAGAAGCACTTTCTTCCGTGGTTTTATCTGTAGGTGAATAATGACAAGCACAGGAGAAGGGAGCTCACAGAGGTGTTCTTTGCAGTTAATGTAATGGTGAAAGAATGGAACTGGGAACCAAACATCCAAGCTGGGGCTGGGCTAGACCAGCGGCGGCCTCCCACTAATAGGAAGGTCTGCGGGGAGCTTGCGGTAACCTGAAACGYGTCAGATTAAAATTGCATATGCAGGACAGCCTACGGAAGGAGGATCCAGGGGACACTATTTTATAGAGAAGCTCCGTCTCCTGTAGGCGCCAGACTACCCACTGCCCCAGCTTCTGCGCACAGTGACCTGGCAAAAGGCAGCACCTGTGTCCCCAGGAGCCGAGCCGTCTCCCTGTTTTCTTTTTTYTCTTGGTACCAGGGATTGAACCAGGGGGCCTCCCACTGAGGCCCAGCCCCAGCCCCTTTTATTTTTGGGCCAGGGTCTCACCAAGTTTCTCAGGCTGGCCTCACACTTGTGATCTTCCTCCTCGGCCTCCCAAATTGCTGGGATCACAGGCGGGACCATCGCACCTGGCTTCAGTTAACATTTTGAAAATACAAGAACACACACACAGAGACACGCACGCACACACGACACGTGCACACACAAGAAGATAAAAATCTCCCATAATCCCATCGCCCAGAGATAAACATTGTCTCTTGGCCCCCCTCCTCCCATGATCCCATCTGTGTTTACCTCTTAAAAAGTAGAAAGTAGAATCATCCTGCATGAGGTAGTGAACAGTTTTTGTGCCTCTAAATAGCCCTCTGCCTCACAGTCTGACCACGACTTCACATGACTTCATCAGTGGATGTTGGGCTAGGTTCTTACATCCCCCAAAACTGATGTAAATCTGCTTATTTTGTAGAGCCCTTAATTTCACTAACTTGGAACACTTGTGGGTTTTGGTTTTTTTGTTGTTGTTTGTTTTGTTTTTTGGTGGTGTGAGCCATTGACTCTAGGGCCTAGCCCTGGCCCTCCCCACTCTTCCCTTGGGTTTGAAGCAGGKCTAAGGACACCCTGCCACTGAGCCACACCCCAGCCCCTGAGTTGCATCACATCCATGGAGCGCTTGGGAGAGCTGGTGTCTTTCCCACCAGAACATAGTGTCACACTGTGCTTGTTTGGATTGTCACCAGAGAGCCTCCACCGAGACGCTGGTGCAACACCTGCCAGGTCTACTACACGGGGGACCTGATCCAGCACCGCAGGACGCAGGACCACAAGGTAGAAGGGCTGCATGCCTCGAAGGCACCGCCTCTCCTCCGAGCGAGGCTGGGGAGGGGAGCCAGGATGCCAGCAGAGAGTTAGTGTCTGTCTCCATGTGTCTGTCCCTCAGCGTGGCTTCTGACAAGCTGACCATGCTTCCTCTTTGGGCTCCAGGTTCCCCATCTGTCCAGTGTGGGCGTGGCACCAGCTTACCCTGCCATTCCTCCATGGGCATAGGGKTCCTCTGGCGGCTCCCTTGTGTCCTGTCTCTGACCTCCTCCATCGCCACCTGCCATCCCATCTCAGTGCTCACCACACAGGGGAGAGATGTGGTTTTGTGTGTTCCAGGGCAGGGGCAGAGCCTCGCTGGCTTTCTATAGATGTGGWAGGCCTTACTTTTATGGATGATAGGTGAAGCCTTACTGGGCACTGCCTGGTCACTAGTCAGGGGCTTGCACGTGAGGACACTCTCTACCCCACATGGCTTGCTTTTCTTTCCCCAGATCGCCAAGCAGTCTTTGCGACCCTTTTGCACCATTTGCAACCGCTACTTTAAGACYCCCCGCAAGTTTGTAGAGCATGTGAAGTCCCAGGGGCACAAGGACAAGGCCAAGGAGGTAATCACACCCATCCCAGAGGACATGGGCCCAGRGAGGTACAGAGCCTTGGCCAAGGCCACACAGCAGGTTGAGGTTTATCCCAGCCTAATCCATAGCAGTCCCAGAGGGATTCACTGAGGGGTGTGTGGCATCSTGGCTGCCCAGAACTGACCTGAGCCCCTCACCTACTCCCCTGGGCAGCTGAAGACGCTTGAGAAGGAGATAGCTGGCCAAGACGAGGACCACTTCATCACGGTGGATGCCGTGGGTTGTTTTGAGGGTGATGAAGAAGAGGAGGATGAGGATGAAGAAGAAGAAGAAGAGATTGAGGTTGAGGAGGAATTCTGCAAGCAGGTGCTTAGGGTGGGCTGTGGGAGTCAGTTAGGGGGTCCTCACTCCAACCCTGGGGGCCTGGTAGTGGGCTGGCATTTGTAGAAACTAATGAATGTCAAGTTGTTTTTTTGTATGTGTGGCGGGGGAAGATACTGGGCTTGAATCCAGGAGCACTTTACCACTGACCTACATTCCCAACCCTTTTTATTTTGAGACAGGGTCTCACTAAGTTGCCCAGGCTGGCCTTGAACTTGGGATCGTCCTGCCTCAGCCTCCCAAGTCTCTAGGATCGTGGGCTTGTTCCACCATACCTGGCCACAATTTATTATGAACCCTATTATCCGTATCTGCCCATATGCATCAGGCTAACTGTTGAGTGGCAGGTGGAGCGTGCAGGGCTCTGGGAGGCTGGCCGAGATTCTAGCCTGTGTGGAGGAAGGGAAAGGGTGGGACAGAGTCGGGAAAGGCAGAGGCATCAGCTAGGTAGTGGGCAGGACTCAGTGTAAGGCGACAGTGATGACGTTAGCAGCTGACATTTCTCGAGCACTTCCTGTTTGCCGCGCTGGGCAGGCACCATGCTCTGTCCTGGCATTTCATCTTATTGGATGACATGAAGCGGGTCTCTGCAGCCCCAGCCTTTGCTGGCCCAGTTCTGCTGCCTCCCAGGAGAATCAGATTTGTTGCAGAATCTTGCAAGAATTGGATTTGTCCCAGTTTAACAGATGTTTCCGGTCCCCTGTTCTGAGCTGGGCTCTGGTGCTGGACACAGGGACAGGTGAGGACCACGGCCTGGTCCTTGCCTGGTTGCCCCCCTTACAGTCCAGGGTGGTCCCTGGAAAGGCACAGCAGAGGGGTTGGTTGTCACTCCTGGCACTCTTTGCCTGGTGAGTGGGTGGGCACTGGAGACACAGGGACCCACGGGGCCAGAGACAATGGGGCTCAGGTCTAGTAGGTGAGATGCGGGTCCTTGAACCCCATCTGAAACCCACCTCAGGACCGAGGTCACTGTGGTTTTGGACAGGAACTCGGGAAGCTGGCGGGGCTCACAGGTGAGTTTGGACTCTGACTTGAGTTCCCGGGGTTCGCCACCCCGCCCCTCCACAAACCAGCAAGTGAGTTATATCTCCAGGGCCTCAGTGTCCTCTAATGTGAAATGGGTGCAACTGTAGAGGGCTGTCATGGGGTTGCAGTGAGGTGACACATTGTGTTGAACAGACTTGGTGTGGATTACGCCAAAACAGGAGCAGGGGGACTGCCTGGAGGAGGGGACCGATTGAGTGGAGGCTAGAAAACACAAACCAGAAGGGTCTCTGGGAGCAAGAGGAGCACGTCAAGGTCCAGCAGATGCCACCCACAACAGCCTAGAAGTCCAGGGGATGTTGCATTTGAGGACATGGGTGGGCTCCAGGCTACTGACCTGTCTGGGAGGGGTCTCAGGGAGTCAAATTCAAGGTACACGCTTGCATGTCTCCAGGTGAGGTCCAGAGATATATCCATAGAGGAGTGGAAGGGCTCGGAGACCTACAGCCCCAACACTGCATACGGTAAGAGCCCGGCCCTGGGCCTGCATGCGGGGGCTGCTGGGGCTCAGCCTCCAGGCACCCCCAGATGCCAGCCCAGATGCTCTGGCCAGACAGCCTATGCCCCTCTTTTTCTTGGCTCTTCTACTCCTGCCTAGAAGGTGGGGAGCAAATGGGCCCCTAGGGAGGGCGGACACCTGGCTGGTTCCAGGGACGTGTGTGGACCCTGCTGTCTGTCCCTCAGGCGTGGACTTCCTGGTGCCTGTGATGGGCTACGTGTGCCGCATCTGCCACAAGTTCTACCACAGCAACTCGGGCGCACAGCTCTCCCACTGCAAGTCCTTGGCCCACTTTGAGAACCTGCAGGTGAGCTGAACATCCTCCTACCCTGCCCTGCCCAGGGCCCCAGCCTCTGACCAAGCTGATGGGGATGGTCAGTGGCCACCTCTCTTATGCTTAGCCTCAGCCCCAGGCACACTCCCACAACTAGAAGGAAATCCAAGCTGGTATGGGGCTGGGCTCTTTCTATTATGGTTCTGGGGGCTGCTGAGGGCCAGGCTATTAACTTCAGAGCCCTGGCCCAGAGAGGCTGACAGTATTATATGGGGTCACACAGCAGTGATGCTGTCTTGCCTGGGGCTGGGGAAGGAATTGCTGGCTGGGAGCACCCCAGGTAGGCAGGGAGCCCTGACTTCTCTGGCATCCTCTGTATCCAGAAATACAAGGCAGCCAAGAACCCCAGCCCCACCTCCCGGCCCGTGAGCCGTCGGTGCGCCATCAATGCCAGGAATGCTTTGACTGCACTGTTCACCTCCCATGGCAGTAGCGGCCGCCCACCCAGCCAGCCCAGAACCCAGGATGTGGCCAAAACCWCCAGCAAGGTGACAGCTCAACCCCCCAACCCTCCACCCCCTCCCCGGCGCTCAACTCGCCTCAAAACCTGAGCCTAGACCCTTCTGGGTCCCTATCTACTAATGCTTTCTAGGAGTGTATATGCATAACTTTGACGTGGTTGGTGTTTTTACTCAAAATCCAATAAAAGAAGGTCATTTTGGTGACGCAGTTCCCACCAGCACTTCTGTCTGGTGACCAGGGGAAGGGGGCACCCCGGCTAGGCCGTTAACCAGGGCCCAGCCTCTCTGGGGACCATGTCGGGGCAGAACGGGGAGACCAATGACAGGCTCCCTGAAAACCAGGGACTCACAAGGCATTGACCTCTCTAAGCCTGTCTCCCTCTTAATAATGTTATCAGGGTTAGGATAAACTTCACTGTCACCCTAGAAGGGGGTCTTGTGGCTACTTCCAAATTGCAGATGAAGAAACCGAGGCCTAGCAAGGTCAAGTGACTTGCCAAAGGTCACAGAGCTGGCAAGTGGCCAGGATCTGACCCAGGTGTGAGCTTGATGCTCATGCTGGCCTCTCTAGCTGGACCTCGTGGGAGCTGAGGTGCAGGTGTGGGGGTCCTTGCCCCTCAGGCACTGTGGCTCTGAGTTCCTGGTTCCTCAGCAGGGCTGAGGCCTCCAGCCAGGCAGCGCTAGCAGGACCATCAGGAGGGGACCCACACCACACTGGCTCCTGAGTTCTGCTGTCTTCTCTCTTAAGAAGACCTTTAGAGACAGGCAACCAGTCCAGCCTGCTAGTGGCCGGCTGGGGAGACTCAGGCCAGGAGCAGGACAATGCCAAGGTCACGCAGCCTGTCTTGGTCCCAACTGTCTTGTTAAAGGCCCCGGTACCCTGGGAGGCTAAGTGCATGCCACAGGGCCATAGGGCATGTCCAGCACCACTGGACCACTGGGCCACCACTGCATGTCAGCCAGGCTGGGAAGCAGCTGCTGGCCAGGGAGGGACACACCAAGTAGGGAGGAGGCCCCAACCTCACTGCACCCTCCAGTCCAAGATGGCCACAAACCCCACCCCTGGCAGATGCGCCCAGATGCCTTGACCACCCCACTCCCCTCCAGTGGCCACTAGAGTCCTCATCCCAGCACACAGAGAAGAGGGGCACAGTGGTATGGGGGACCCGTTTAATGTGGACCCTGGGTCCTGGGAGGAGTGGAGGACTCAGGAGCTGGGCAGGCAGGCAAGTGGCGGGGTTGCAGGTCCCCACTTGGCCCCAGGAAGGTTGCTGGGCAGTGGGGGCTGGCCCAGTRACAGACCCACCAGGAGACCYAAAGGCCAGACCGTGAGAAGGTGTCTAAGCCAGGTGGTGAGTGCTCGGCTGGTCTGGCCCAGAGAGGCAGGGCTGGGGCCTGGCGGGGCGCGTGCAGCCTAGAGGCTGGCATCACCAGGGCTCTCCCCGAGCTGCTGCTGGAACTCAAGGCGCGTCTGCCGGTTGGACTCCAGCAGCTCCTGAAGGCGGGCATGGAGGTGGTCGTTCTTCTCCTCCAGGTGGTCTAGACAGGAGTTGATCTGGTCCAACATGGAGTTGATGGCCGCATACTCTGGGAAGAAGGGGAACACAGCCAAGTTCCTGTGTTTCCTCAGGATTCACACCCCACTGTCCCCCAACTGACTCCAAAAGGGCTTGGGGCAAGTCCCTACTTCTGAGCCTCAGTGTCACTATCTGGAAATGGGTAGACAGCCCAAAAGAGGCTTTGAAGAGATGAAACCTTAGCGCAACAACTTTCTTTCTAGGGTTAGGGTGGTCGCAGGGCAGTCAGCCAGTGTCCTGCCTGGGAGCTCCTGCCCGGTGCCAAGCATCCTTAGCCCTTCCTTCAGCAGCTGCCTAGAGCCCACATTCCTGATTAGAGCAACCGACGCCTCTGTCCCAGGCAGGCCCCATTCTCTAGCCCTTCCCTGTCTCCCTCTGCCTTCAGGACAAAACACCCAGTGGACTCTCCCAGGCTCTGGAATGGGACCCAGCCCCTGCTCCTCTGTCTAGCCCCATCTCCCAAGTCTTCTCCTATCCTCTCACCTCAGGCCCTTTGAATGTGCTGTGCCTCTGTCTGGGGTGTGTGGGTTCCTCCTGTCTTCCTTTCCTCTTCTCCCTGATGAGTCCCACTCACCCTTGAAGACTCAGTATGGATGACACCACAGGGACTCTTCCCAGTGTCCCAGACCAGATCAGTCCTCTGTCCTGATCCCCCAGCCTGCCTCTGCTCACTTCCATGGCCTCCCCTCAGGACTGACTGCTGTGATTTTTTTGTGTGGTGGGTGTCGCCCACTCAAATAAAGCTCCTTGAGAGGTGACTGGTCTTGTGTTTGCTGTTGTCTTCCCAGAGCCCTCACTGACAAAGTAGGCGTTCGTTGAATGAATGAATGAGTGAGTGGAAGAAGCTCTGACCCCACCTCTGCCTTTGCTCAACTGTCTCTGTCACCTACAATGCTTCAGCCTCAACAACCCTTCAAGGACCAGCTCAAATGCAGCCTCCCAGATGTCTTCCCTAGTCTCCACTAGAACCTGGCACTCACTCCTCTACTGCCACTCTTGACTGGCCTCTCTGCAACGCAGTGTCCCTGAGGACCCAAGGTCTGGGCCTGTGCCCACTGCGGGACCCAGTTCTGAGCCAGCCCATGACTCAGATGCACCCAGCTGCCAGTCTGGGACCAGAGGAGAAGCGGCTGGTGGTGATGGAAAAGGCCAGGGCCCAGGAGGTCTGGACTGGGGGTGCAAATATGCCTGCATTCTTGCAAATGGGCACCCCTCAGAGACAAAGAGTCCTGGGAATCTGCTGATCTTAAAGTCCATTCCACTCATGGTACAGATGGGGAAACTGAAGCCTCAGAAGAAAGGAACCAGCCAAGGGTCGTACAGCTGGTTGGTGACCACTGAAGCTCTGACTTGGGGATCAGGGCCCTTGGGTCTGAGTTCCAGCTCTCTGGGTTACTGCAGTCACTACAGTTCCCTTCTGGAAAAGGGGCTAAGAATCAAGTTTTCAAATGTATCAAGAGCTCAGCCACAAGAGTGCTTGTATAGCATGCATGAGGTCCTGGGTCTGACTCCCCCTGCAGAGCACACACAAAAAAAACTCAGATAGGGTCTGGCCACAGGCAGTCACTACCATAAATATTTTGCACTGTGTCAGAGACAAACTGGAAAAAGGCCTAGTAGCCCAATGCTTGTCCCCTAAGTGAAAGGTCTTGTACCTTTGTTAAAAGAAGACCTAGGTGATTAAAATGTTCTAAGCTATTGTGATCAATGCACAACTATGTGAATATACTAAAATCCTAAAACTGTATAGTATGTGAATTATAGCTCAATAAAGCTGTTAACAGAAACAAAAAGCATAATCCATCCTTACCCCACATTTACAAAATCCTGTTAATACACCAATCCTTACTACACTAAAGAAAGCGACCATAATAACCACTTACTGAATGAATATCTGCCTTCTGGAAAGCGCTAAGCATTTTCCATTCAATTTTTCCTTTACTCCTGACCCATCTCAATGAGGCGACACTGAATCATTATTCCTACATTATAGAGGGGGAAACAGCCCCGGACTGATGATTCTCCGGCCCTCCCACAGTGCTCTGCACACAGCAGGATGCTCTGGAGGCAGGTCACCCCAGCAAAGCCAGATGGCTGGGGGTCCTGACTCAGCAAAGCCCCAACGAGTCGCTCCGGTAGAGCCAAACTCGCCAAACTCGGCCCCGCCCGCGGGGGCGAAGGAAGTGGCTGGAGCAAATTCCAAATGGGCGAGCCCCTCAAGTCCCCATCTGTAAAACGGGGCTGGTTGCCCACGGTTCCCCCAATGCTGCGGTTCCCAGGGATCCGTTCACGGTGCTCGCCCTGCACCTCCGAGCCGGCGCCTGTAGTTCGGGATTCACCCAGGGCCGGGTGGGGCGGGCTCTTCTGACCCTTCAAAGCCCCGTCCCCGACCCGTGCCCGCTCCCAGGAGGGCACCCCTGGAAAAGCAAAGGCCGTCCCTGCAGCCCCCTGGATCACCTGCTTCCTCGAAGCCATCCTCCTCGCCTTCCGCGCCCGCCTCCACCGGCATGCCCAGGTCCCCGTTGGGGCCGGACATCGCGGGCTTGGGCGCCGATGGGGCCGCGCGAGGAAGGAACGCGGCGGCGGTMCGCCTCCAGCGGGCGTCGGGCGGAAAGTAGGAGCAGCTGGTAGAACGCGGGGCCGGAAGGGTGGAACGCAGCTGCGGATGGCGGCCGGGCCCCGCCCCTGGGGCGGAGCCTCGCGGCCCGAACTCCACCCCGCCCYGCCCCGCAGGCAGATTCCGCCCCTCGACCCAGGCCCCGCCGGCGCCCCGCCTCACAGTCGAGCTCCGCCCACTGCCCGCTGGGCGGGGCCTGCTGCCCGCGGGGAAGCCCCGGCGGTGGAGGTCCGGGCTCGCGACGAGGGCCAGCGAGCCCGAGCGAGCCCCGTAGAGGGGCGGGGCAGTGTGGGACCCCCCCACTGCGCCCCATCCTGCTGCTTCCAACCTCAGACACCGAGTTTCCGAGGCCTCCTGTGACTTCGGGAAATTCCTGTTCGCAATCCCCCAGAGTCATGGAGGGTCCACCTCCTGCCCTTCACCCAGTCCCTGSGGAAACGACCCACACCCCTGTTCTGTTCTGGGCCTCCCGGTCTTCGGCATTTCTCTTCGGGCTCTCGATAATTACATCTTGTGCGTCGAAACCAGTATGGGCTCCAGCTCTGGACCAGAGGTAGACACAGTCCCGCTTCAAGAAGAGCCGCATAACTGGAGCAGTGGTGGGGAGGAGTGGGAGACTCCTCCTGATTGTGGCCCTCAGGACTTGTCATGTTCATAAGGAAAAGGTTTGCTGCCCACCTCCTGCAGAAAGTCATCGGGCCATCAAGTGTYGCTCCTGCATTGGACCCAGAGATGTGCCCTGGCCAAGAGTCCAACTGAGCTGCAAGCCCATGTCCCAAGGGAGATAGGCCCACTTCTACTCCTGCAGCTGTAGTGGCCAGGAGGACCTATGGCTACTGCAGCCTGGTCCTGGTCTCATGCTGGATGTCCCAGATGGTGACATTGGGTGGAAAACTCTCCTATCCCTGAAGCCACCTTCACCATTTCACCTGAGGTAAGGGGAGGTGTAGTGGATGCTGCTATATGGGCCACCACTAACTTGTACTTAGCCGTCCTGCCTTCTTCTCCCAGAAACCAGGCTGAGTGGCAGTGGGGTCCACAGAATCAGTACCCAGAGAAGTTCAGAGGTCTCTCATTCCGATCAGTTGGTCCTCCCTGATGGAAGAGGAAGACCAGAGACAGGGATTTGTCTCTGTCTTTGAAGAAAAAGGAAGGAGCCCTAGCCAAGGATTGCACCGGGGCAGCTCTGGCTGCAAAGAGCAGGGAAGTGGATTCTTCCGAGGGCGGGAGGGAACAGCCCTGCTCACACTCTGCTTTTAGCCCAGTGAAACCAAGACAAACCTTGTCCTCAGAACTAAACCAGAAGGCACAAAGCCAACAGTTTGTGGCAATTTGTTACAGTGGCAATAGGAAACTCATGCCTCCAGTGACCCAGGAGGGGCCTGAGAGTGTATCCTGAAAGGCCCAGCAGGAGCAGGGGACAATGGGAAGTTACCTCACTTGGGCCAAGGTAAGGAACTGGAGCCCAGAGGTTAGGCGTGCCGCATGCAGATTCAGTCTCCTCGGCCAGCTAGAGAGCTTTGGCCAGTAGCCCCCCAGGTACCCTTCTCTGCCAGAAGCCATTCTAGACTTGGGCACAGTTCTCATCCCTCATTAGAAGCCCAGCCTGTACCAACCTGGTCTGTTCAAGGAGTCTGGCCCAGACTTGTGACACAATCTGTGGACCTGTCTTGCTTCCTGGGGACCCAAGGCTGGGCTAATCATCACTCCATAGCTTCCTACCCCCAGCCAGGACAAGGTTTGTCTTGGTTTCACTGTGTGTCTGTGGGTGGGCAGCCTGGCTTCCTTCAGAGTCCCACCCACTCAGGCCTCTGACCATGCATGGGGAGAAGAGAGGCAGGAAGGGTATGTTCTTGTATATGATGCGGACGTGGAGAGGCTACATCTGTGACTAGTGAGGAGACAGGGGCTTGTCAGGCCTGGCTCAGGCCCAGCCATATGATGGGTGCCAGTCTGGGGCCTTAATCCTACTCCTAGGAGGCAGGATCCCTGGCAGCTTATCCCCTCTTTGCCTCTACTCACCCTCCTGAGGCTTCAGAATGTCCCCTCAGGTGGCAGGGTGGGGGTGAGGGGCAGCCCTCTAAACTGGGTCAGCATGAACACAGTCCCCACCTATGAGTCTGGCAGGGGGCCAGGGTTATACCCTTACTCATCCTCTGCCTGGAATTGCCCTCAAACTAGGTAGGATGCACCCATCCCTTCTTCTGTGCACCCCTGTCCTGGATGCAGCCTCCACAATCCACAGGGGCCTGGTGAGTCAGGGTAGATGCATCTTACAACCATTCCAGGCCCCTTCAGCTCCCTAGCCCTGTTGCGGCCAGTGCTGTGAGGCCTGTTACCAATGATTTAGTATGGGCATGAGGTGTGGTGCCATCAGTGCTTCTGTTGACTCAGGCAGCCCTTGTGAGCAAGGGCTTGTGAAGGCTGTGCTTCTCTGTAGGTGATGAGGCATGCCCAATCAAAGCAGGAATAAGCTTTGGGGGGTGGGTACCAAGGATTGAACCCAAGGTGCTTAACCACTGGGCCACATCACCAGCTCTTTTTTTTTTTTTTTTTTTTTTTTGTATTTTATTTAGAGACAAGGTCTCGCCAAGTTGCTTAAGGTCTTGAAAGTTGCTGAGACTGGCTTTGAACTTGTAATCTTCCAATCTTCCAACCTCAGCCTCCCAAGCCACTGGCATTACAGGCATGTACCACTGTGCCTGGCTAAGCCCGATTTTGTTCTATGGAAGAGGACTCAGGGCAGTTGGCAGGGATGATAATGGTGGGAGGGAGAGGCATGAGTCCTAAAGTCTTCCCTTTATGTGGTCTCTCTGTAACCCTAACTTCAGGTTGGGTTCTGGGGACTCCATCCCTGGATTCATGCTGGTGTGAGGCCACACTTTGCCCTCCCTCCCACCAGGGTTCAGGGAGCACAGACTCGGGGACTGGTGGCATGGGTTTACTTAGCAGACGAGGAGGGCTTTATCAGAGGCTTTCAGGTCAGTACTGTACCATGAGAAGGGTCTCCCAGCTCTGAACCTGGCATTGTGGCTGGTGGGGCAGTCAGGTAACACAGCAGAGATTACAGAAAGGACAGGGGTTGGAAAGCAGGGGGCACTTGAGAGAGGACATCAAAGTGAAGATAGCTGTGTTTCCAGGAACAGCGAGAGGAGCAAAGGTAGGCCTGAGACCTCCTGCCCTCTGCACCCTGGCCTCCTGTAGACCCCCCAGAGCAGACATCCTCACGGCCGGTTCAGTTGTCAATGCACTGATCTGTGGGGGAGAAAGTCCATGTTTGTGTGTGCACGTGTGATATCTCTCTGACGGCCAAGACCCCTGCACTTCCCCTGGGCCACCTCAGGCCCACCCTGGCCCAGCTGCAGAAGATCTGGTGATTCAGGGTTGGGGCAGTAGGAGGACCCAAGATGGGGCTAAGGGTGTAAGAGAAAGGCCTGGGCCTCATGACTGCTCAGGCCTCCTGTTCACCTGCTGAACCTGGTAGCCCCTTAGCCCATGGCCCTGAGTGGCCTGGCTGGAAGAGGCCACTTGAAATACAGGACATCTCTTAAGTCCCTCCCTCGGGGGGAGGGGGAGATGGCCCAAGATAGCAAGGCCCGGGGTATGCAGAGGAGGTGGCCCAGGACAAGGAGTGTGGGGAGGAGGTGGCTCAGGAAAGTGATCTGAGGAAACATGGGCCTGGCCCTGAAATTCTCCTCTGGGAAGTCCCCACCTAAACTGACGGGGGGGGGGGGGGGGGGGGGGGAGTGCTTGGGGCTGGGACTCCACCGACCCCAGGAAGGGGTTGGATCTTCCTGAACCTAAAGTGGCTCCCAGGGCCTAGAAAGTCCCCGTGTCCCCTTCCCTTCACCCTAGCTGGCTGTTACCTATGCGGACAGGGAAGATGATGTGGTCATCAGTGAGGCCCAGAGATTTGGCAAGGCGGATGAACCTCTCCTTCGGCTTAGAGGTCAGCTCCTTGGTTCTCCCTGTGACCAAGATGGCCAGTGAGTGGCCAACAGGAAGACACTCCATAAATAATGTTGAGCTAATGAACAAGACCCAAACCCTTTTCCATGGAGGGTGTGCAGAAAGACCTCTTCCCTGAGGGGTGTTGGAGCTGGAGAAGACTTTGAGGTCTAAGGGAATGGGATCCCCTGCCCCAGGGCGTGACCAGGATCTGGGCCCCAGAGGGGATGGGGTGAGGACCCACCGTAGAGGGTGATCTTGAAGTATTCCCTGTTTTCAGAAACTTTCTTGAAGTACACTATGGCAAATTGGTTGTAGTTGGTGGCTGCCACCTGCACAATGTAACTCTGTATTTTGGGATAACCTGTAGGTATAGACAGCAAAGGATGGACCCTACCCTGGCCAGGAGGAGGGGGCTGTCCCCTTTCTCCTCCACTGMTCATGGGCTTTTCCCCACAGGGGAGCATCCATGTGGAGGGTCAGGGAGGACTCTTCCAGGAGGACACTGCACCCTGGAACCCCAACCCCAAGGCCCCATCTCAGGACCCACTCAGGACTCACTGCTAATGTTTCCCAGGGTAAACCGGCCAGGTGAGGAAGTTGGGACAAAAGTTCTGATCCAGTGGTCACAGCCCTGGTCCCTGTGGGAGAKAGATGGGGGTTCAGCATGGAGATGATGCAACTTGATCTCCCAGGCTAACTGAGGAGGGGCCAGGGATGCAGCAGAATTCTGATGTCTCAGCTCAAGTTCCACTATGGCAGGAGTCCCCACCCTGCCCAGCTCAGATGGACCTGGGCCTTCCACTCGGAGCCTATATGTCCCTGCCTGGTCTGCTGCAAGGAGCCACTTGACCCTGCTCAGACATTCCTTCAGCAGCCCCTGTCCCTCCTCCAGCTGAGGAGGGACACAGTCTCCACACAGTCCCCTGCCCCAGGTACTTACCCCCTGCTCCATGCCAGCGCTCCCCTAGCTCTTGGGCCAAACCTGCCCCATTCCCTGAGTCCCACCCTGCCCTCTGGAACCCCAGAGCTGAGCTCCCCAAACCAGCCTTTCTTCTGCCCCTTGTTCCTCAGATGCTCCAGCTCCAATCCCCCCCCCCTCACCATAGTCAGAAATCCCGAGCTGATGGTGCGCCCTGCTCCCTGTTCCAAGCCCCAACCTCCCACCTTGACCGCACCCTCACTGCTCTCCCCACCTCTCTGGAGCACCCCACTATTTCTTCCCTGCTGCCGCTGAGCTCTGATTCTGGCCCTTGTGCGGAGACACCCCTCCCAGGCAGTCCCAGGGTGTCTCAGGCAGTCCCAGGCACAAGGTGAGGTGCCCCAGAAACTAGCTGAGAGTGCTCCCCTCCCCTTGGCTGCTCACCAGCCCCCTGCTGGGGTGGCCATGCAGGTGGCTTGTGGTTCCTGAGGCACAGTTCCGACTCAGGGCCCACACATCTCCATCTGAGGCAGTGTGGGTCCTTGACAGTCACCTCCCTAGAGGCCCTGGACGGAGGCCCTGGTGGGGTCCCAGCTGAGTTCAGTTTCCCTCCTCCACTTTGGAACACTACTTTCTCCGTCTTGTTTCCACTGATGGTGTGTGTCTCTCCCTCCCGCCCTCCATGCGTGTCTGTCCTGAGCGGCGAGGGCGACGGAGGGGGAGAGGCAGTGTGAGAGCCATGAAGAGCCCCTCAGCCCCACTTGGCCCTTGGCTGTGACATCAGCCCGCCTCTCAGCCCCCTGGGAGGTCATAGCCTCACCTGAGCAGAGTAGAGGTGACATTGTAGCTGTGGTCCTCCTTCAGGTCGTAGGTGGTGCTGTACATCTTAAACTGGCCCTGTTCTTCTCTCTGAACTGCATTTCCCGCCAGGCCTACCACATACCATTTCCCCTGGAACTGCCAGGAGTTGATGATGGGCAGATCAGGGATGGCCTGGGAGCCACCCCTCGCTCTCTGTCCCTTCCGGCACCTCTGGGCAGCCCATCTAGGAACCAAGAGTCCCCCTGACTGGGCAGCAAGGCCCTGGGCTGGGTCTGCCCTGAGAAGCCCACAGGAGCTCGGGGCCTCCAGGACCCAGAGGGATCCCTGAGAGAGGAATTAGCCCCGAGTTGGCAGGGACAGGGTGGCCCTGGACAAGAGAGTCTCAGTTTCCTCATCTGTGCAGAGGGACACATGTCCCCACCTTGCATGGACAGTGGGAATTATGGGAGACTCGATGTGAACCTGGAAAGATCTGTCTAGACAACTCTGGGTGGGGAGGAGATGGGTGGACTAGCATGGCTTCCTCCGGGAGCCCAGGTGCAGGGCATGCTGCAGCCCCCCCCCCCCGCCCACCTCACCCAGCACTGCCCTGGACGCTTCAGCTCTCCTCCCTCTGCGCCTGCTGCCTTGGGCCCTCCCTGCGGCTGCTCCTCCAGGCTCCTTACCTGGGCATCCTGAAAGCCCTGCTGCAGGGGGACCCTGCTGAGACGTGGGGCTGGGATCAGGTTTGGAGCAGAATCCTGGGCCTGGGTCTGCAGGGCTCCCAGCAGGGTGAGGCCCAGATACAGGAGAACCAGGGGCATGATTTCAGGGCAGCCGAACCTGGCAGGTGTTGAAGGAAGAAGCAGAGAGAACAAGGAACCCAGCCTGGGGGAACTATTTATGGGCCACTGGCTGCTGCTCCCCACAGGGTGGGGTAACATTGCCTTTGCCAAATCCAGGAAGAGTGAGGTAATTGCCAGAAACTCCTGTGGAAATGCTTGGCAAGGTTCGTGCCCCTTCCTCCCTCTGGTCAGGATTATGCAAATGGGGGGAAGGAAGGCCAGCAGGGAAGGGGGACAGGAGGGACATTCCCAGGAGGCCACAGTCTGGCAGGGACAAGGGTTCCCTCTGGGTACTCTTTGTGCCCTCTCCCTTTATGTGACTGGCCCTGTCTGAGGTCAGAGCTCGGATCTGGACAAGCTGTCATCTCTGACCCCCAGGAGCCTCAGCCCACCTAGTGTCCAGGGAGGGCTGTGGGTGGCGCTGCCCTCTCCCTGCACCCGCTAGAAGGGAGAAGGTCCCTTTCCATAGCCCCGTGATGCTTTCTATTCCTTGTGAGGGTCAGGGGAGTGCAGGGCAGAGAAGGATGAGGCTCCTGCTGAGCCCTCTGAGCCCAGACCCTGGCCCCTCGCAGGAGCCCTGGCCAGACCCTGGTATGGAATGAGATGCCTGAGAGACTGGCCTAAGAATGCTCCTGGCCCAGGAGTGCTCCCACCTTGAGACCCCTCCACCACATTCCCTTCCCCATTTTTCAGGAGGGGACAGAACAGCAGCCCACCCCCCAGGGCCTGGGCTGCTTGGGTGAGCCTAGTGGGTAGGGATGCCAGGCTCAGCATGTGGGCACAGGTGAGGCTGCTGAGGCTTCAGTCCCCGTTCCCATTGGGGCCCTGATAAGAGGACCATGGGGAGCTGGTGGGAGCCCCAGGCAAGGTGGACTGGTGGTGGCCATGAAAGTGGGCTCTATTCTGCTCCTTGGGACACAGGGAGTACAAATATTTGGCCTTGTCCATCTGTCTGTCTCTGGGCCATGGAACCCAGTGGCCCAGGCCTGAGGTCCCAGAACCATCCCTGACCCACGTTTTGTCCCAGCGGGAAGTTGTTTCCCCACAGGGAGGCTGGCCAGCATCCTTGAGGGCAGTGATGGGTTCCAGGCACTGTGCAGTGTCCCCCTGAGAGGACTCACCATTTGGGCTGTGACTGTCCTAGAGGCCTGACCCTGAGGGTTCAGTGGCCCTCCATGGGACTTAAAGGGCCCTTATTGGCTCTAACCTACCTGCTGCTTGGGACCCCCAGTCTGGGTTCTGAATCAGCAGATCAAGAGAGGGGCTTTGGGGGGTCCTGAACTGGTGGGAAGGGAGCTGCCTCGGCATCCCCGGTGCCAGAGACCCCAGCTGGACTCACTGCCTCCGGCCCTGCCCTGCCCGCTGGTCCCGATGGTGAAAGAGCAGAAGTGAAGGTGAGCAAAGCTGAGGGGACGACGAGGCCACTGGAGCCTGTCCCCACCTCCCACCCCCTCTCCAGCCCCAGGGGCTCCACCCCTGCCATTCCCGTGGCTGGTGTTCTCAGGGGCTGGATGCACACAGTGGAAGGAGCGCCTGCCCAGCACGCACGGGCCTGGGCTCCCTCCCCAGCACTCAAGGTGTCCTCAAGAGTCTTCTGTGACCATCAGATGCGGAGGAGACAGGGCGGGGGCGGCAGAGTCCCCCAAACTTTTAAGTAAGCAAGAGGCAGTGTCCTGAATCACAGAGGAGTTGCTGGGTGGAATGTTCCAGACCCTGAAAGTCAGGGGGCTGAGTGATCAGTGTTCCCAGGTGGGGTGGTGTACAGAGTTTGGGAGGAGATGGCCCAGCTCAGGGACCCCAGGCAGCTTTGAAGCTGGGCCCCTCAAGGAGCAAGGAAATCTCTGCCTGCCTCCCACCCGCCAGGCTCCTTCCCAGCAGAGGGAGTGGCTCTGCCTATTCTGGGAGCCAGAACAGACCACAAGGGGGACTTGGCTGTCCCTGCTGAGGTTGTCTCTAGGTTTCTGACAAACCCTGCTGGGTCTGCTCCTCCCCCCGTGCTGCCTCAGGCCTGTCTGGTCCCCTGGCCTGGTCTCTGTATCTCGGTCCTCATCTCCTGTTGGACTTTGTCTTTGCTGACACCTGGGGATGGCCATCTCATCCTTCTTCCCTGACTGCCTCCCGCCATCTGTCCTGGTCCTCTCTGGAGGTCGGGGATGGAGTGAAGAGGCCGGTTGAGAGATWTGAGCTTCAGACGTGCGGTTCCCAAGCCAGGCCTCAAGGGTGTCCCAAGACACGTGCCCGATGCTGGGCTGACTGGAGCTGGAGCAGGGACAAGCTGGGGTGCTGGCAGCCCTGCCAGGTGGAAGGTTCCCGAAGTCTGGGTGGGACCCTCGTCAGAGTCCAGCAGGGCTGTGGGAAGGGGTCAGATTAACAGGCACCTCCCCTCACGCTGGCTCTGAGGCTCAGCACTGGGGGATGGAGTGGGGCCCACAGTGTAGACCTCCTGTTCAGGTTAGGACTGACTCCAAGGCTCCAGGGTGGACACAACACTGGAGGCTCCAGGTACCACCCACTCCCTTCCCACTGGGCCCCATTCCCCTGGCCAAGGAGGGGACTCAAGGGCTCACATGGCTTAGAGCTGGGGGCAGTTACTGGGCCCTGTGGCTTTGGGAGTGGTCTGTGCTACGTGGGTGGCACGGTGCCCACAGAGTGCCAGGCCCTGGTCCATCTCCCTTGGGCCCCACTGCTGGTTTCCACTGTGACTCCTGAGCCGCTCCCGCAGGGCCACCCCCACCATCTCCCCCCAGTCTCTCTCCAGGAAGCACAGACATCCCTGGTGGGCCCTCAACTAGCCATACAAAAGCTTTGGGGCCAAGACCCTTCTGGGAAAGGCCAGGCCTGGGCCTCCCAAGTCCTGCTCTGGGTCTGCTTAGAAACAGCAGGAGCTTGAACACTGTCCACACCTGAGTTTTCTGTGGCCAGAAGCCAGAACTCTAGTTGTTCCCAGGGCCCCACCCAGGTCTAATCCGCCCCTGAAGGCAGTGAGATGCTTCCTGGTGCTTCTTGCATCTCAGGAATCCAGTCTGACCCCCTGGTCTGGTTTCTAGGAGCTCATGGACAGTGTTCAGCCCTGGAAGTGACTGGGGCAGAGGTGGACCCTCTGACCTTTCTGAAGGGCAGTACAGGACGAAGCAGGCTTCCCAGAGGCAGGGCCATGCCTGAGGAGCCTCTAGGCAAGAGGCCCTAGGAGGCCTAATCATGGCCCCGGGAACTCCTGGTATCCATGGAGGGGCCCTCTTTGGTCACTGCAGGTCCAGTGACACCCTGCTCCCAGACAGCCCCGGATGGGCATGACTCTTCCATGTGAGGTGCTTGCCCCCCAGGGACCTGGCTGCAGTCTTCCATTTCCAGAAGTGGCTTTCTAGTCCCCTGCTCATCTCTCACCCCTGGGCTCACCAGGGGGCCTCTAGGACCTCCAGGTTCCTGCCCCTTCCACCGGATGGGGACCCCACCTATGGGGACTCTGAAAGGTAGCCCCTCCTAAACCTTCAATATGCACACTGGACATCCTCCCTCCAGGGAGGCCCTGGAGCCCATTGGACAGGGCAGCAGGCCCTGCTGCTCGAGAGCTGGACCTCCCCGGCTGGTGCTGGTCCTCAGGTACTTGGCCCAGTCTGCCCCCTAGAGGGGTGCTCCTGCCTTTTGCTCTACAGCCTGGATGTCTGTGCAGGTAAAAGGGCCCACAGGAACCAGGGGCACAGGGGACTGGAGGCCACAACTCCGAGCAAGGTCAGCAGAGGGCCTTCCATTCTGCGGGGATGGTAGGTGGCTGCTGGGCTTTCCTGCAGCTGGTCAGGGGACCTCTGCCTGGCATGGCCCTGGTACTGGACAAGACATCTGTTCCTCTCAACTCTGCCCCTCTCCTGCCTGAAGCCCTGCCAGGTAGCCCAGGAAAGGGGCTCATTTCTTGCCAGCTGCCTGTGCTGGGAGATGAGCTGGGTTCAAAGGAGCCAGCTCAGCACTAAACTAAGAAAACGGTGAAGAAATCACGCACCACACGACATGAGTTTCTCCGATTGAAGGTGGGACTGCCCTGCGACCTTAAGGGTCAGTTTCCACGCTGGACAGCGCTGGGAAGAGAGCGTGAACTCAGAATCTCTTTATTTTTATAGTGGGGACACACAAAGGAGCTTTGATGGAATGTTCTTCACCAAATAAGGAAGGTGGAGTCTTGCTCGGTGATGTCTTGTGGTCAGCAGATTGGTTGCCATCATGGCAAGCCACACCCATCTCAGGTGCTGTGCGGGATCACAGGCGGAGTGAGAGGAAAGGCACACTTATGTGGCACAGCCCAATCAGCGAGCAATGCCAGACCTGTCCCCTCATATCACTCCAGTGCACATAACTCTCACACACAGCCCACAGATGGCTCGCGGCACATCCATCACAGTCACTCCTGGATAGCCCTCTGACTTGCTGCTCTCTGGGCCCTTGGCTGGGCCTCTGCTGGGCACCATGCAAGGTGGCTTGGGTGAGAGTACAGGGCTGGTTCTCCCCTGTGCCCTGGGAGCTCATGTCAGACCAGGAGAACAAGGGAACAAGGTTATAGATACCAGAGGGTTGGGAGACCAGGTATCCAAGATGGTGTCCCTGGCTGCAGAATCGTGGCACTTGGGCTTCTGCCTGGAGTCCCCTTAGGTATCCCAAGGGGATGGCAGCCCTTCTGCCCGCTCCTTATCCCAGAGGTGGAGAAAGGTCAGAAGCCCCAGCTCAGGCTGTTCCTTGGCCCCAAGGTTCTATTTCAGACGGGGGCAATGTCGGTGGCTGAGCCTCCACTCTGGGGCGGGGGGAAAGCAAGGCTGTGCTGGGCAGTGAGGACCAGGGTGGGGGCCCCAGGGACACATGTCCACCTAAGGACGAGAAGCCTACCTGGGCCAATGGGGTGAGGGCAGGGAGGGTGGGGAGCATGCAGTGTGGGGTGCCAAGCTGTTGGGTGTGGCCGTCCCTCTGGAGCCTGATTCTCAGAAGGTTGGGTCAGAGG